TAGTCCAGTGGGACGACTACTCAACACGACTGGTGAAAGTTAAGACGCTGGACCGACGGCTTTGTGTGCTCTCCGAGGCACGGGGGTGAAACACCTCCAACTTCCCATCTCCGGACTGTTATTGAGACTTACTAAACAGAAAGACTCAATAACTAAACTTGGCCCGACTCGAGACTCGAACCCAGGACCTCTCGATGTGCAGCCGTACTTGCTAGCCACTACACCACCGAGTTACACACAAAATTATCTAGCTCCTGTAGGATCTAGTATCTACTAGAGTTATGGAAATACAGGTAGTGACCCTTAGCGAAGCGAGATCGTGTCACTAGTATAACATAAACAAGTTTTATAATGAGTGTCAAGGCAAGAATTCACTTCAAAGAAAATTCAACTCAATTATAGCACGCTTTTACTTTCGTTTATGGTGGAGAAGATGGGGCTGGACATTTGATTGCATCAAAACACGTTTTGGTTTAATTCAATTGGAAGTAGATTTTTACTATCTTTAGCGTACAATGTACCTCGGTGGTGTAGTGGCTGGCATGCACTGATGTACATTCAGAGGTCCTGAGTTCGAATCGAGGTTTAGTTATTGAGTATTTCTGTTTCCAGCCTTAAAAAGCAAAGCACACTGACTTCGAAAATATTTGATTAGGTATGTATAGTAAATGAAAACTACCAATTAGTTATTTTTTACTTTTTAATGCTTTTTTTGAAATTGGGTATTTATTTTTTTGTTAAAATGTTTTTATTTATTATATATATTTAAATTTTAATATATATATTTTTTTTTACTTTTTTACTTTCTTCGCAATGTAGTCAAGACGGATTCTGAGAAATTCAACGATTATACATTTTATTAATGTGAAACTAGCGACTCAAACCTTAAGACAAAGTGTAGCTGATGCGTTTAAAGTTTTGTTCGCAACAATTAAACATGCCTGATTTTCAAAACACAAATGTAACTGTTAGCTTTTTTTGAAACCTTTAGCAACCTTTTTGACATACTAAATTCAAGATCACTTTTTAGACACGGCTTTAAACTCTCTTTTTAAAAGAATTGAAACAAGATTATTTTTACATTTTGTTTTTCTTGGTCCTTCTTTAACGCCGTCATTACATTAGTGTTGCTATTATTCTCCTGAAAATAATAATGAAGATCAGTTTCAAATCTATGAAAGACTGGCTCTATTTGAAATAGATACCTAGAACCTAAATATTAATATAATTATAATATTTATTTAGATCGGCAGGGAAACTAAAAGAAAACAAAATAAGCAAAATACACTACTATTATAAAAATATCTAAATTTTATCGATTTACATTTCAATATTTCATCATGAAGAAAAAAAATACTTTCTAAATTAAGTCAAAATTTGATTGACTTAATTTTGCGTAGTATTGGCCATCTCGGTTTGACAACGTATTTGTCATGTGAATATCTTTTAATATATATATAATTAAAATTTTGCTACTACTTACTAGTGAAAAGTGATTCCTGGACATTTTAATTTTGTATGGATCCTGCACCACTTCATAACTCATGCTGGCATGATGATTTACAGCTGTAGTTCACAATGATAAAAATTTAAAGGTACGCGAAATTTGACAAATTTGACACGTGCTCGCTTGTAAGAATAAAGTCCGGCTGATGACGCGCTGGACACAATTTTTAAGCCCCACCTATCTTGGACACAACTTTTGAAGGGTTATTTTTTTAACGCAGTTACATTTCGTGACTTATTATTTATTCGTAGATTACAACACATAAAGTCAGATAGTAACAATTAACCCCGTCTTGGAGCTAGTTGTTAAGACGATGGGGTAAGTTGTTCCGTGATCTATTAAAGATATGATTAAAAAAAACAACAATAATTGGTATAATCAACTTTTTTAGAAGTAATCAACAATATTTTACAAATAATCAGTTGTATTCTCTTAAATCGTCTATAAACTATAACTAAACTATTTAAGATTTAATATATAATAGATATTATTTGTACTTAACGGTTCAACATTAAACCATTATATTATATACATATAATGAATAGCTTTAGTAGCTAATTAGCCTTGATAACTTAGTTCAGATTTTACCTTCAAATAAATATATTAGAAAGTCGTCTTTGACCGGAAATAACAAAAAACATATTAATAATCACAGGATTCTTCAGATTCACAATTTGGACAAATGTACATATGTTAACAAGTCGCCATATTTATTATATCTGGAACGGGTTCAAAGAATTAAAAAAACTATTTATTACAATTCGTGAGATTGAGCAGAAATATTATAAAATAGTTATTTACAAAACTAGCGACTCACCCTCGCTCCGTTCGGGTTCTCTCTATATACGTTTTAACGGTTAGTATAGATTCTTTAAAGATCAGATATTTTCACCCAATAAAAAGTTTCCTATATGTTGACCCGTATAACCAGCTACCATCATACCTGATCAAAATCTTTTTAGTAGTTTTCACGTGATGTTTTTCCAGACAGGCAGACAGACAGACAAAAATTCTAAAAACTATAGATTCGGACACTGTATCGATAATAATGACTATTTTAATAAGATTTTCCAAAAAATATTTAATGTACAGATTCGATTCGGTTAGAATTTTATTATATGTAAAGGTACTATATGTATCGATTTAACTGCCCAGGATTTAAATCCAGGTATAAGCCACTATTTAATCAGCCAATTTGTAAGAGAAAATGCACTAGTAATATCTTCTTATACTGTAGTTGCCAAAATTATAATAAGATAAATTCAGATATTGACATTTTATTTGAAAAAAAAATAGTTCTTTTTCAGGTAAAATATATAAGAAAAATGAAAATATTGCTGTATAAGTACCTAGTATCTACCTATTTATAGTTATAATTTTTACCCTTTATATGTTCTTTAAAATTATCATATTTAAATTTAGTTTTGAGTTTTTTTGTGGAAACTTAGCTGATGTATGTATTTTTGTATATTAGTATCTTATAGGTACCATCTCATTGTTTTTCCCCTAATAAACAGTGCCAGATTTAGCCTTACCGCCGCCTCTGGGCATAGTATAAAATGCCGCCCAATTATCGAAATTTTGTAAAAAATGAGTAAAGTTTCGATAAAGTTTTTTTTTTAATTTTAATTATTTTTTTTAAAAAATTGCATAAAAATAATTTATAAAATATATAAATAAATAAAATAAGCCTTTATTTGCTGTTCGTTTTTTAAACATTAATAAATATACTAATTAATCAAGTCTCCTTAAGCAAAGATCTTAAAAAATAATTCTAAGGTTACTACTAATTTTAAATAACAATTTAATAACTATCGGCAAATGGTTAGTCTGTCGTAACAGCTTGTATTTCGACAAAGGCCTCCTGTAATGATTTCCACTTTTCTCTGTTTTTTGCTGTTCGCATCCATGTGGGCCCAGCCACATCTTTTAGGTCGTCTTCCCATCTTTTAAAATAAAAAAAATTATAAATGATTTCAAATCTCCGAAAAATGTACTAGTAATTTTTTTTAAATATTCTGTTTTTTAAATACAATTTTGCCGCCCCTAAAAATTTCCCGCCCTGGGCACTAGCTCCGAGTTCCCCAGTGTATATCCAGAGCTGCTAATAAATAATAAATAAATATGTATAGAAAAAGTAGGGCGGCGGCGGTCGTATGCTCACCCCTGACGTATAAGCGGTCAAAGTCAATACTGTGACATTGGCAGAATAAATTACACTCGCTTGAAAACCATTAATAAGAAAATAAATTGATCCTTTGTCCGACAATCCAAAAAAAATATTTTCCGAAAAAAAATTTTTTTGCTCATTAGCTAATTAAAAATTAATACTTAACCCTAAATCAGAACCTACTTATTTACCTAATATACATGTACATACATATATGTGTAAGGTTACCTAGATTATATTTGTACATGTGACTTATATTCGCTACGCGTATTACTAGTGTTTTATCCTCGCTTAGCTCGCGTGCTCGCTAAGTGCCATTTTATACAGACTCCTTTTATCCAATTTTAGGCTACTAAGTACGTAAATACGCCGAGGACAAGTCTATACATATAATAAAATTATAACTGAGTCAAATCTGTACATTAAATATATTTTTTTAAATCTTATTGAAATAGACATTATTATCGATACAGAAGCCGAAACTATCGTTTTTAGAATTTTTGTCTGTCTGTCTGTTACCGCATCACAGAAAAACTACTGGCCGAATTTTGATGAAATTTGGTATGGTCATAGCTGATCATCCGGGTCAACATATGGGATACTTTTTACAGTGGAAAAATATCTCATTTCTGAGAAAAAATACAAAAACTGTAATGTAAGAATATACTAATATATAAAACCTAAAAAATTTGTTTTTGGTCATTTGAACGCGGGCGGAGCCGCGGGCAATGCTAGTGTATTATAAATTCAATTGATTATGAGGCCGCCTAAGAGCGCTACCAATTAACTCATTTAATAAGCAATAAAATACAACAAGTGTTTAACACTTGTTTTACTTTATTTCTACTTCTTTCTAAATTTCAAATATGACTAAACAGTTTCTCTCTTGGATAATTTTTCTTTTAATGTTGAAGAATGTAAAAAACTGTTGCCAAACAAAGAAACAACTTTAACCATACTTATACAAAATATTCGTCCTATAAATCGAAATTTTAATGCATTAAAACTTCTGTTACATTATCTCGACATTAGTTGCGATATTATTGTTTTAACGGAATATTGGCTCTCAAGGCAGATAAACCACATAAATCTTGACAATTATTTCGTACACAAATCTGAAATAAATTTTAATCAAAATGATGGTTTAGTAATATATATATATACATATATATATATATATATATATATATATATATATATATATATATATATATATATATATATATATATATATATATTTAATTATATTATAGTCAAATATATAATAAAGCTGACAAGTTAGTTGCCACAGCTTGTTTGATAAATGGTGTCTATAAGTTAAAAATGCCTGAAAAATTCTTGGCCGCAGTGATGACCTCAAGTGACATGTGGCATCGAAGGTTAGGTCATGTCAACAGTAACTACCTAAATAAAATGCAGAATGCCGTGGAAGGGCTCACACTCGACAGAAGGGCTGATGTTTCAAAGTCGTCGTGTATAGTGTGTTGCGAAGGCAAACAGAGTAGATTGCCTTTTCACAGGATGGCAGCAGAAGTGATGATCTCCTGCAAATAGTTCACAGTGATATATGTGGGCCATTTAACAATGTTTCTATTGGTGGGTCAAGATATTATATTTTGTTTGTGGATGACTATAGCCGCATGATATATATCTACTTTCTTAAAAACAAAAGTGCAGCTCTTGATTGCTTTAAAAGTTATAAGACAGTTGTAGAGAATCAACTAAATAAAAGAATTAAGAAGTTGCGTACAGATAATGGAAAGGAATATTGCAGTAAAGAATTTGAGAAGTATCTTAGCAATTCAGGAATTATTCATCAGAAGAGCAATCCATACACGCCTGAACAGAATGGACTGACAGAACGCTGTAACCGTTCGGTGGTGGAAAAGGCAAGATGCCTGCTATTTGACGCTGGTCTAGATAATAGTTTTTGGGCCGAAGCAGCAAATACTGCTGTATATCTTCTGAATAGGACTGTAGCATCAGCTTTAAATGGGAAAACTCCATATGAGATGTGGACATTGAGAAAGCCAGATATAAGCCATTTGAGAGTCTTCGGGAGTGTAGTAATGATGCATATCCCAAAAGAAAAAAGACTGAACTGGGATAAGAAGGCAGAGAAGGGCATACTAGTAGGCTATCCAGAGGATATTAAAGGTTATCGTATTTATATTCCTAGAACAAAATTAATCACAACCAGCCGTGATGTGACCATCATTGAAAAACCTACATCAATAGAGAGTCCAGTTCAGATCAGAGAAGTACAATCACAGACTGAATCCTCTGAGGTACATTTAGATTCAGTGGGGGACATATCAGATGACACTGAAAGTGAGGAGTACCATGATGGTGATGAAACTTATGTTCCTGATGAAGAAGAGATCTCTAGTGATGAAAGTGTAGTGAGTGTAATTAAAAAAAGGGAGTGTGTGAGACACAGACAGCGACCAGACAGGTATGGTTTTTCTAATATTTGTTTCCAAAGTGATAGTACAATAGATGTCAGTGAACTCTCATTACAAGATGCGTTAAATGGACCTGAAAGAGAACAGTGGTTAGAGGCAGTGCGAGATGAGTTACAATGTTTTGAGGACAATAATGCGTGGGAACTTGATGAAGTACCTGATAATAGTACTATAGTTCAATGTAGATGGGTATTGCGAAAAAAATATGATAGTGAAAATAATATAAGGTTTCGTGCCAGGCTAGTTGCTAAAGGTTTTTCTCAAAAACGAGGTGTAGATTATACAGAAACTTTCTCACCTGTTGTTAGACACACAACCCTACGATTATTATTTTCACTATCAGTGCAATTAGGACTTAATGTAACACATTTGGACATAAAAACTGCTTTCCTTAATGGTGACCTAGAGGAAACCATATATATGCAGAAACCAGATTGTTTTGATTCCCCAGGTAGCAAAAATAAAGTGTTAAAACTTAAGAAAGCCATTTATGGTCTAAAGCAGGCCTCAAGAGCCTGGAATAAGAAATTAGATAATTGTTTACTTGAATATGGTTATAAAAAATCAAAGCTTGAACCATGTATGTATACAAAAATGAATGATAATTGTAAAACTATTGTAACGGTTTATGTAAATGATTTCTTTATATTTTCTAATGATAAAAAGGAATGTATTAATCTCAAGGAGATGTTGTCAAGTCGGTTTAAAATAAAAGACTTAGGACAAGTGAAGCAATGTCTAGGGATGGATGTTAAATTCAATAAGTTAGAAGGATCTGTCACCTTAAGTCAAGAACATTATATTGATAGTTTGTTGCATAAATTTAACATGACAGATTGCAAATCTTTTGATACTCCAATGGAACATAAATTGAATGTAAACATAGGTCAAAATGTAAATAATAAAGTACCTTATCAACAACTTATAGGTAGCCTTATGTACTTATCTGTCTTAACCAGACCAGATATAACTTACTCAGTTAGTTATCTAAGTCAATATAATAATTGTCATACAGATGAGCATTGGGGTTATGCAAAGAGAGTGTTGAAATATTTGAAAAAGACTAAATCTTATGGTATTAAGTATTGTAATAATGGAATTTCCAATATAGAAGGTTTTGTGGATGCCGATTGGGCAAATAATACAATAGACAGGCGGTCTTATACCGGATTTTGTTTCTTATTGTCTAATGGTGTTATATCTTGGGAATGTAAAAAACAAAAGACTGTAGCCTTATCAAATTGTGAAGCTGAGTATATAGGAATTTCTGAAGCTTGTAAAGAAGCAATATACTTAAGGGCTTTGCAATTTGAAATAACTAATACAATGTACACTTTAACATTATATAATGACAATCAGAGCACACAGAAGTTGTCGACAAATCCAGTATTTCACAAGAAATCTAAACACATTGATGTGAAATATCATTTTACTAGAGAATGTGTTTCAAATAATATAGTAAATTTACAATATTTGCCTACAACAAACATGCCCGCTGATTTGTTAACAAAAAGTCTATGTAAGCATAAACATTATATGTTTATGGAAATGTTAGGTGTTGTTAATGTGTAAAATGTTTATATGATTATTTGAGATAGTGGGGGTGTTGAAATAAATCTAAAATAATCTTTTTATGTACAAAGTAGTGACCTCTGCTTTCATATGTTCTAAATTGTAATATTAGGTAAATTATCTGTAGTATAGTATTGTATGATCTGTAGTCATATAATTGATAGATTATCTGTGCCGTGTCTATTAGAATAATACAGTTCTTTTTGAATCTCAACGCGGTTGTTTTATTAGATTAAAGTTAATTCCGACATAATGATATTGGCAATTTACAGACCTCCCTCTCATTTCTCAAAGCGTCGAAAAAAACCTAGAGTCCCTTGATAAATATTAAAACTTATTAGTTATTGTCAATATTTACAACCATAATTTTAACGGGCGATATTAATATCAATATTGCTTCAGGGAAAACAGATATTAATGCTCATAACTATCTCAATATTTGTTTTTTTCATGGACTTTTATCTGTTCATACCTAACTATCCAACGCATCAAAGTGGGTCATGCCTTGATCACTTTATGATAAAATCTAGAAAACCAACCACGACTCTAGTTACTAACTCCGCTCTTACCGATTCATCAAGCTGTTTTACTTACATTGCAATTAACCGTACACAGAAACAACAGCATGCGTAGTTATAATAAAATAAACATAATAAACATTGAAAATGACATGCACAGCATTAATTTTGACCCAGTTTACGCCTCAAATGATCCAAATACCCCTTTAAATCACTTTGTTGTATTATTAAAATTTGAAATATTTAAAAATATTTCAACAATAAAAATGCCAAGTCAGCTTAAATGCATTAAGCCTTAGATTAAGCCAGGTCTCGTACGTTGCATAAGACATAGAGAATTACACTTAAAGTCCAAACACGCGCCTGAAAATGAAACACTTTCTATAAAATATAAAAGATACAGAAATTTCTGTAATAACCTTTTGAAAAGTTAAAAACTCAGCAAGCTTGAAGCAATTGGGATAAGAGCCACACAGCTTCAACTTCTTTCTGACTACCTGAGTGATCGAACTCATTCTGTAAAAATAGGCCACTACATGAGTTCAGGCTTTAAAAACAGTTATTACGGATTGCCTTAAGGTAGTATCTTGGCACCTAATTTATTTTTAATCCATAATATAAATGACCTCTACAATCTGCAACTGAAAAATGGTGTTATTATGTCACATGCGGACGACACAGTACCTACTATTGTTTTCAGCAAAATCATGTGTAGAAATTTACGCAGATTCACAAAGCGATTTTGATAACGTATCAAAGTGGCTTCATTATAATCTTCTTACTTTAAATACAGATAAAACTAAATAGTTATTATTTACAATGAGAAGCACTAATACATTACTTACTAATCAAAACATTTACGTACATGATTGTGCAACGTCTGCTGACACTGCATGCACTTGTCTTACATCAACTAAATCAGAGTATATTAAATATCTAGGTATTTGCGCTTGACTGAAATCTGGATTTTCGATATTATATTGAATTATTACGCAATAGGTCCCGTAAATTAATATGTATTTTTAAATTTGTACGTAAGATCGCGGATTATAAATTAATCAAACAAGCTTATCAAACTATTAACAATATGTAAAAAATTTGGTTTTTGGTCATCTAAACGCGGACGGAGCCGCGGGAAATGCTAGTAAGTTAATATAATTAAAATTTATGATGTATAATTTGCATTACTTTTGTTATCAACTAATAAAACTATATCGCATAATTATTAATGTAATAAAAACAAAAATGATGATGTCCTTCTGACTGATTTTGGCCACGTCGCTCAAACTCGCTGATTGTGAGATTGAGATCTTTTATAGTGCAGAGTCTGTACACAGATACACATACGCACATATTCATTTCGACACTTGATATGGGAGATCAGGCGCAGAATCGAAGGCTTTACGTGCTTTCTGAGGTACAGGGGTGAAACATCGCCAACTTCTATAAAGACTAAACTTGGCCTAACCCGGAACTCAAAACCAGGACCTCCAGATATACAACCGTACATACTAGCCAGTAGACTACCAAGCCAGTGTAAAACAAATAATAAATTCACAAAATTTACTATTTTCTAAAGTTGAAACCCACTTCATAATATTATTTTACTGACACAGTACGAGTATCAGTACACAGTAATGTAATATATTTGTTTTTTTTTTAAGATATTAAGATGCCACATAAATATTGAAGAAGAGATCTTCAATATTTTTTTTAATTATGTAAATTCCTTATACAATTTATATTTTTAGTAAAGGCGGAAGTTTGCATACCAATTAGCAATTATAGACTTGATAGTCATACAATGACCTCTCATGGTTTTTCTCAGGTATAGGTGGACGTAGATAATATACATACCATGAACGAATTAACCACAATTCGTTCATGATACATACATATAGTACATATAACAAAACAAATTTCATAGCACTTGTTACTAGCAATCTGATAGACAAAAATATATGAAAATATATTTTAGCCAATAGTTGTAGTATGTTCTTGTCTATTTTGTGTAATTATATATATAAAACTAGCGATTCAACCATGCCCCACTCGGGTTCATCACTACTTACGTTTTAAAACGTTTAGTGTAGATTTCTCAACAATGAGATATTTTCTCGCTGTAAAATGTATCCTACATGTTAACCCGGATAACCAGCTATCGATTTTATCGTAATGCGTTCCCAGACAGATGGACAGACAAAAATTCTAAAAACTATAGATTCGGCTACTGCTAATGACTATTTCAATAAGATTTTACCAAAAAAATTTAATGTACAGATTCGACTAGTTATAATTTTATAATATGTATAGATAAGAAGGTTAGCTATATATGCATACATAAAATACCTACCATACCATACCATTTCAACAAGTATAATTCCTAGAATCGACTTGTGCCTTTTTATTAATCTACACATATCGCAGTGAATAGTTAATTACAATAAAATAATGATTTAAAAAAATAAGCATTTAGAACTTATAACTGTTACATTCAATTTGAGAATGTTTTTGTGACTTTTTTGACAGGAAATCTTAGTTTGTAGGTTTTTCAAGGAAGTTATTATAATGTTTAATGGTAATAATGATATTTTTATCATTTGACCTTAAATCTATACTATAATCAAAGAGTAGAGGTCGAATGTCTGTACATAGCAAAAAAAAGCTAAAAACCGAGTCAGGGGGATGTAAGAAGACAAATAGAACAAATCCAGATTTTTTTCAATTTTTTTGTTTCTCTGTCTGTTTGTCTGTTTGTACGGGCTAATCTCCGAATCTATTGGACCGATTTAAATGAAATTTTGCATGGTGGTACTTTATATACCCGGGCAACATCTTAAATACTTCTTATCCCGGAAAATTTATTTAATTTTCCGGGGAAGTCAAATTCGCCGCCCTCTTCTTTGGGCAATAATATTAAGGCCAATAAAATGGGACCATTTCCGATTAATAACTCTGGCAGGCGATTCGATCAGATCAAACGAGCATTCAGTTTATAATGGATTATTTAACATAAAGGCCAATGTGTTGCTATTCCAAATCAAGAAGCATTTATTAGTGCAAAATAAGATAAAATCTATAATGCTACAGGTCTGGAATCACAAATTGGTCGGTAATTAAATGATCAGAGAAGAAACTGTAAATCACATGTGCTGCAAGAAATTTGTAAGATTATAATATGAGAGTGCAATAGACTTTAACCATGCCATGCTATCTGCATTCAAATAGAATGGTGAAAAGGTTAAACTAGATCTTGGAAGGCATCTAGCAAAGGTTGTGACTTGTGGATGGAAATTAAAGTATTAATTCGAACATTTACCATTAACCATACACGAAAGTACTTTACATCAGCTTATATTATCGGAAGTCTGCTAAGCATATGACCGGAGGATATCCCCAAAAACAATACCACATATCCTAGTGACAATAGACTAATATGGACAAGAAAAGTGATGCAAAATGCCTGCAACAGAAGATGCCTGCCATGATAATCACAGTAGGCTTACGAAGTAAGACGTGAACAAAGCCATAAACAGCACCAAACACTGATAAACCTGCTAAAGCTTAAAGCAAAAACTACAAGGAAAACAAATATGATAAGAGCCGACATAGGACAGGTTATTACACCAACGGGGCGTCGTAGTTGAATGCGTAAGCGATCCTGCGACGCCCCATTAAGACGGGGGAAGGTTTAGTTGGGTTTTAGAGGGTAGTACTGGCTTTGCCGGTGAGTCCCACACTTCGTGCGTAAATGCATTTCCCAACGTTAAAAAAAAAGGTTATTACACCAAACCTCCCACCAACCTAAGAAACCAGATGCCACATACAAAACGCCTCTATATGGCGATTGTGAGAGAAACTGGAAAAACTCACCTTAAAACATGTTAAATATCAGACAAGCTTTTCGAACTTGGAAACGAGGGTTTGCTGAAAGTATTACTTGAGGAACAAAAAATACCTATTTAACCCATCAGAATACATTACACGAACACAATATCAGAATACATTAGGGACAACCAGTCATGGAGCAACGCCGCCAATCACATGGCGTCCTATAGCGTGAAGCACCGTCTCGTGCAACTAGAGAAGTTGGAAGAAGGAAGAACCGGACCTCTTAAATGGGGCTATAATATACTACAATGACTAAAGATGGTAATCACGCAGAGAGACGAAGAGTTATTTAGAACGCTAGCATCACTAACCAAATGTGCCAGCATAGGAATTCGAAGAAACCAATCGGGAAGCTGGCAACTTACACCAATAATGTCAGGATCTCACACTAACATCATCTGAGAGCACCGTGAGAAGAAGAGGAAATATCCCGCTGGCATACTTCACCAAAAATGCCAGCATTCCACACAAAGAAGGCCTGAAAGTGCAGTACCAATTAGTAGCACAACTGCTCTCAAAGCTCTTAAAAGTTGCAACGATGGTGCAGGATGCATTTAGCCTGAATTAAAAAAAGAAATGACGACATTTGCCCTTTAATTTTAAAACCAAATTTCAAATCATCACAGAAAAAGAGTATGTGGTGTTCGTATACTGTTTATAAAAACGTTATCTCTGAGGAGTTCTTTGAGTTGAGAATTAAGCTTTTTAAGTGTAAAATATGAGATAGAGAAATGTGTGAAGGCTGACGAATGTGACTTTATACTATACTAGCGTCCCTAGCTTGCTTCTCCATACAAACTTTCATCCCCATTCTCACCCCTCTGAGAGATGATTTTCGGGATAGAAACTATTTCACAGACTTTTCATATCATGAGATTTAAAAAAAAAACTTATTTTAGTTTTTTTTTAATTTTCTTCTATACAAAGCTTGTCCTGACAATAACAAATACAAAAAAAAGGAATTATCCATAATACTTTCTTAGATTTACGCGAATATTTGACATTTTAAATAAAACTATCTTTTCGGATTTTGTCGCGGATTTATTTGTATTTTTGTTTCCCGACGTTGCGAATACTTTACAGCAATCATGGTCACGGGAGAGAATGAGGTGTTAGATGTCTCTAAGGTATTATATAGTTGTTATAGACAGCCTACCCACAATTAACAAAATGAATTCAAAAAATTGAAAAATGAAAACTTTTAACTTTAAACATTTTTATATAATTTTAATTAGCTCTATAATTGAATATAGAATATTATTTATTTAATTTGAGCTGTTATTATTATAATTATTAAAATTTTAAAAAATATTAATTATTAATCTACATTTTTAGTGTTGCCATTATTATATTTATAACCATAAAGAAAAAATCATAATATATTAATTATTTAAGCCACAATTGATCTATGTGTAATTTGAAAAAGTTAAGATTAATTAAAAATAATAATTTTAATTTTAATTTGCTATTATTTAAAAAACAAATTATTAAGCAACACATTACTACATACATTTACAAATGAAAAAGTGAAAAAATATTATTAATCAGAAATGCTATCATTTTGATCTACACAGTAAGAACTTACTACATCTACCTGTCTGTTATGTTTAGATTTATTATTAGATTTTATTATATTAATAACAGGATCCCATGACGATGGTAGTACCCAGCCATCTTCCCTATTGAAATTAGGATGTTTTTTAATTTCTATGGCTTCTCGAATCATTCTAGGGCGATATCGGTTTTCTTTCGCCAGGATTTGAGGTCTATCGAAGCGAATATAATGGCTTTAATTTTTATTTTTTATTTTAGTTTAAGGAATTATCCAATTTGGTGCTGTCGATCGGAAGTTATGCGCGTACATACATTTTGGTGATTAATTTTTATATATATATATATATATATATATATATATATATATATATTTTAGTTTAAGTCAAGAATATAGTTTCCATATAATCATAATAATGTCCCACTACTTGATAAGTTTATCGAACTTATTTTTTCGTCCCTGGCATCTTATCAAATAATTATATTTTTAAATCATATATATGTATACCTACAAAATTATTACTCCAAGATAACCTCTGACCCCTGAAACGGAGTAATCAGTTCATTAAGTCTTAAAAGCAAACACAAGATTTTCTTTTTAATCAACTTCCACAACGGAGGAGATTTTTTATTTTGTACGTACATGCATTAGCCGTTTAGCGCCCGACTACTTTTAGTAAAGTAGTAATCGGTGTGTGGGAAGGTGTTGGTGTGCTAGTAGTAGTAATCGGTGCCAGCCCATACAAAGCAAAGCACACCGACTTCGAAAATATTTGATTAGGTATATATAGTAAATGAAAACTACCAATCAGTAATTTTTTACTTTTTAGTGCTTTTGTTTGATGTCGGTTTTTATTTTTTTGTTAAAAAGTTTTTATTGATAGTTTTTGATTATTCCTTTTTTTGTACTCCTAGTAGCAAAATAATTCTTTATCGATATGGTAGTTATGATGCTATCTGATGTTGTGATACAAAGACAACGGAGCTCCTCAAAGAAAAGAAGTAAACTAGCGACACACTCTCGCTTCGCTCGGGTTCGTCCCTAGGTACATTTTATTTTTGAGCGGAACCCTAATTCTTTTACTGAAATAAAAGTAGACTAAGTTACTCCTTATAACATTAACTACCTGCCAGTGAAAGATCCGTCAAAATCGGCCCAGCCGTTTCGGAGATTAACCGGAACAAACAGATGGACAAAAAATTTAAAAATTGTATTTTTCTTATAAATATCGTATATAATTCCATATGCATTTAGTAAAAAGCTGTTATTTTGATATTACAAACAGACACTTCAATTTTATTTATTTGTATAGGTAGTCTTTAACTAAAATGTCGGGACATACGAACAAATGGTTACATGGTTAACGCTGGCTAAATCTTAAGAGATAAATGAAAACAATGTACTAGAAAATTGTAGATGTTAATAAGACCTACAGAAAGGTGTATCTCCTAAGGTACAGACGAAATAACTATTTTTATCAATTTAAAACGTACGTACCCAGGGAGGCACCCGAGCGAAGCGAGGATAAGTCGCTAGTGTATAATAAGTCTATCTCTTGGATCTATTGGCTAGGATATTATATATATACAGATCGAAAGCTTTGGGCTTCGAGCATCGAGTCGTATCAAAATATAATTCTGCCAGGAACATTCAGGAGCAGCCCAGAATTGAAAAGCTTGCGCTATCCGCCTCCTCGCCTCGGAGAACACGTTAAGCTGTCGATCCTGCGTTTATCTCTGAGGAGCTGTGGTCCCATCGGAATATTATATGAAATTTAAAATATAAAGGGTGCACTTGTGTTTGCGCGTGCATTTATGCACTATTGTACCTCCTGCGCATAGGGCTAGACTCAGTGAGATTGTGCTGCCATGGCCGAAATCGGTCAGGAGAGCATTACGTTTAATTATTTATTTATTAATTTATTCGTTTTATAGTGAATTACTTAGTACGTAGTAATAGAAATTTTTCTAAACCTTTGTCCCACAAGGAACAGGAACAATCAGAATAGTTTGCATTCAGCTTTTGGATAACGGGATCATATTATTAGAAATTATTGAAAAAAATATTTGATTATATTTATTTCCACCAAATCTTTACTTTATAATATTATGTAGTAACAGCATTTCAATACATCTTACCCTTCTAAAAACATCTGGGTTTTTCAGAATTAAAAATTATTCTGAACATTGTCGATACAACTAATGAGCATAATCAAACTACATAATATATGTATTATTGTATTTCAATAGTAATTTCTGGATGACAGCAAAACTTTCAAAAAAAATTTATCCAGATTTTTGCGATAATTACTTATTTCTTTTTCTGGGATAAAAAGTATTTAAGAATTTTGCAAAATTACACTTGTCGTACTAAGATAATAAGTGGCCTACGTCTCGTAAGTGGTTTTCTTTATAAAAGCTTTTATTATTGTACTAAGTTTAATCAAAATAAGTTATTCAGATTGGTCATGTAAAGGTCACTAACAAGTAAACAAGGTCAGATAGGAACTAATAAATTATACATAATATTATGTATATCGAAATCGGTCAGGAGAGCATTACGTTTAATTATTTATTTATTAATTTATTCGTTTTATAGTGAATTACTTAGTACGTAGTAATAGAAATTTTTCTAAACCTTTGTCCCACAAGGAACAGGAACAATCAGAATAGTTTGCATTCAGCTTTTGGATAACGGGATCATATTATTAGAAATTATTGAAAAAAATATTTGATTATATTTATTTCCACCAAATCTTTACTTTATAATATTATGTAGTAACAGCATTTCAATACATCTTACCCTTCTAAAAACATCTGGGTTTTTCAGAATTAAAAATTATTCTGAACATTGTCGATACAACTAATGAGCATAATCAAACTACATAATATATGTATTATTGTATTTCAATAGTAATTTCTGGATGACAGCAAAACTTTCAAAAAAAATTTATCCAGATTTTTGCGATAATTACTTATTTCTTTTTCTGGGATAAAAAGTATTTAAGAATTTTGCAAAATTACACTTGTCGTACTAAGATAATAAGTGGCCTACGTCTCGTAAGTGGTTTTCTTTATAAAAGCTTTTATTATTGTACTAAGTTTAATCAAAATAAGTTATTCAGATTGGTCATGTAAAGGTCACTAACAAGTAAACAAGGTCAGATAGGAACTAATAAATTATACATAATATTATGTATATCGAAATAGGATGTATAGGTATTATTGTTTAAAATTACATAGGTACCTATAGATACCGATAGTTCTATAGTCCCACTCCACATTCAACGGTCAGTTTATAGTTAAACTAGCGACTTACTCGATACGATACGTTTTAACGGTTAGAATGGAATAGATAGATTATATAGTATATATACCTATACATAGGTATGATAAGTTGTTGTGGGTTGTATTATAACGTGTTTTCCCGTCAGAATGAGAAATGAAACTACCATGAAAAATAAAGTCAATTCTTAGCGCTTCAAATTTGGTGACCATTTGCAACATTTTCTTAGAAATGCTTCTCCCAACAACTTGTTTGGAACATTTTTCAAGGTGTGTAATAAATGCTATGCTAGCAGTCTTATAAATCATTTAATTATTACCAAAGTATTATATATAAAAATCAGCTTTTATACTATAACGTAAGTAGAATTATGATTTCATGAAAAGGGTGTCTGGCAAGGGTTTGCCACGAA